TTGTCTAGCGGAGCCACCAATCTTTCGTTTGTGCCTTGGGGTCTACTTAGGGGTATTTTGAGGGGCCTAAAGAAGGGAGGGGTTTAATATAGAACCCTATAGGATTTTATTTTTTTTCAATTTTCAAATGACTATTTCTTGAAAACAGTAAGTGATAGACACACACGGTCTTCAGTAATAATAACAGGACAATAGAACAAATCAAATAAAATATAGGGTGAGTCCCTGGGGGTCATCCCACCCCCTTCAATTTTAAAATGTGCTTTTATCGTGTAAACGGTCGCGATCCCCACCCTTAAACCATATATATACTTGTATGGGACAATAAAACAAATCAAATGAAAATTTGGGGGAATCCCCAGCGTCAACCCATCCCCTTCTGTTTGAGAACTTGTAAACGGTCGAGATCCCCACCCCTACTGCATACACATTCTTGTATGGAACAGTAAAACAAATGAAATGAAAGATAGGGGAGTCCACAGGGGTCCCCCCCTTGTTTTTTGAAAATTTGTAAACGGTCGAGATCCCCACCCCTAAACAGTAAATATTCATGTATGGGACAAGATAACAAATCAAATGAAATAAAGAGAGAGTCCTTGTTGTCACCCCCACCCCTTTCTTTTTGAAAACTTGTAAACGGTCGAAATCCCAAATCCTGCACCATATATATTCTTGTATGGGACAATAAAACAAATCAAATGAAATATAGGGGGAGACCACAGGGGTCACCCCACCCCCTTCTTTTTGAAAACTTGTAAACGTTCGAAATCCCCACCCCTAAACCATATATATTCATTTACGGGACAAGATAACAAATCAAATGAAATATAGGGGAGTTCCTGGGGTCACCCCCACCCCCTTATTTTTGGAAACTTGTAAACGGTCGAGATCCCCACCCCTAAACCATATATATTCATTTATGGGACAATAAAACAAATCAAATGAAATATAGGGGGAGTCCACGGAGCTCACCCCCCCCCCCCCCCCCCCTTATTTTTGAAAACTTGTAAACGGTCGAGATCCCCACCGCTAAACCATATATATTCATTTATGTGACAATAAAACAAATCAAATGAAATATAGGGGGAGTCCACCGGGGTCAGACCCACCCCCATTATTTTTGAAAACTTGTAAACAGATTAGATCCCCACCCCAAAACCATATATATTTTTGTATGGGACAATAAACAAATGAAATAAAGGGCAAGTCCCCTGGGGATCACTCCCCCCCCCCCCCCCTTTTTGAGAACTTGTAAACGGTGAAATACCCAACCCTAAACCATATTTATTCCTGTTCATCATTTCAAGAAGATTTGAATGACATACAGGGTCATTCTCCTAGGGGTCACATATGCATATCACTTTACTAGACCTAACCAATTTGTACTGGACTTTGCTCAATGTCAGGCGACCATGGGAATGAAGAATTATGGGAGCTCTGTTTAGAAGACTTCGTAACAGCATCCTGTTACAATTATTTCTTGTTTATTATAAAATTTAACTGATGCAAAAATAAGTCTAGGTTAATTGAATTTACTTTACTTATTTTTTTAATTATTTCTGGGCCTATAAAAACTTTTATTTATGGCTCATTTTAAAGAAAACATATAAGTCTTTCAAGCTGTGTAAAGCCCAAGAATGTTTGACCAACTGTTTTATAATCACCTGTCATTTTACTCCAAACTTGGGATGGAGTGACATCATGGACTTGGTGAAGGTAAGGGTCATTTGCATTTACTATGGGCAGGTCAATCAGACCTCACCTTTGATCCCTGTAGTAGTAAACCTTTGGCTGATTTGTGTCTCATAACTTTTGTACTGTAGAACCCAAACACAGTGTTCCTGCCAGGGAAGCAAGTCCATTCATACTATTACAAACTCGTACTACGTCAACTTGTACCACTAAAAGTCAACTGGTACCAACGTTAACTACCAACTAGAACAACTGCAATCATTGCGAACTTGTACCACTGCAAACTCATCATTAAAAATATACATTGATATATGCATTGCTTTTGAAAACCTTGATAAAATAATCAATTCATTAAATGAACATACATATACAATATACGAATGTTTAATGTTTGTTCTTTCAAATCTTTAAAAAAAATAAATGTGGATAGTGTCCACATGTGGACACAGATGATGACCCGCTTGCATATCATATAGTTATAAAGGGACATAACCTAAGAACGGTAAAAGTGACGCTACCCAAATTTGAACTTGATCTGAGTTTTGTGGTAATAAGCATTGTGTGTGAGTCTCATAACATTTGGTTGAGGCTAACTTAAGTAGAGAACAGAAACTAAAAATTCAGCGATTTTTCTATTTGTAAACTCCCATAACTCTAGAACGGTTGTGTATAAGCTTTATAACATTTGGTTGAGACAAACTAAAGTTAGAGAACAGAAACGAAAAATTCAGCAATTTTTATGTTTATAAAGGGACATAACTCAAGAATGGTAAAAGTGTCGCCACCAAATTTCGTACTTAATCTGTATTATGTAGTAATAAGCATTGTGTATAAAGTTCATAGCATTTGGTTGAGGCAAACTAAAGTTAGAAAACGGAAACAAAAAATTTGTACTTGATCTTAGTTTTGTGGTAATGAATATTGTGTATAGGTTTCATAATGTTTGGTTGGGGCAAACTTAAGTTACAGAATGGAAACTAAAAATTTTGCAATCTTTCGATTTATAAAGGGGCATAACTCAATAATGGTTAAAGTGACACTATCCAAATTCAATGGACAGTGATCCGTTTATTTGGCAATCGCCTATGGCAGTCAGCAGGGTTTAAGAACATGTGTTGTTCGACCTGTTAGTCAAATGCGTTTTGTTAAAATATACTTTTTCACTTTTTTGGTCTTTTGGAAAATGTTGTTTGTGCTGTATTTAGATCCCTCTTACAAGAAAATTGTTTTGCATGCACACGTATAAAAATTGCGGTTTTTATCCAACTCAATCATAGGTTTGAACGTTGTTTTCAATTTAGACTTGTATATATAGATATATAAATATTCCAATCTACTAATGAAATCAAAATCATTAACTTTTTTCCTAACTTTTTTATTTTCCCGCATTTGCACAGAAATATCTTTCTTTCTTCCGGTCTCGTTTGTCTATCACTAACAACAGGACCAACATCGGAAACATTACGGTAATTCCGTCTCTTTTTATACGACGGCAAAAAATTTTGCGGTCGAATATTGGTATCACGTCGTCGGCGTCGTCGTTTTCTCGCAATAACTTTAGTATAAGTAAATATAAATCTATGAAATTTAAACACAAGGTGTATTTATTTTTAGAAGTTACTATTTTAAAAATGCTGATGAAGGTAATTTAATTTTTGCCATGATTTTTTATGTCATTTTCTATTTTAGATGTGTATGATGTACTTAAATGGGTTATTATGGTTGCAAACTCAATTGGAAATTTGAAATGAGATTATGACCATATCTTGAGGGAAGAATTTTTTTGGAAAGGGGGAGGTTAAACAAAAAATGGGGGGGGGGGGGGGAGAATTTGTTCTCAAGATTTCAGAAATTAAAAAGAAAATTTCTTTAAATATTATTTTTTTGGCAAATAAGGGGGATTATATTTTTTGTGGGGGAGGGGGTCAATTCGCAACCGCATAGTGTATTGAACGAACGCGTGTCTGTCGTACATACAAAATTTAATCCTGGTATCTATGATGATTTATTAACAACCACTGGGTCGATGCCACTGCTTTTGTGGTAAATTTTAATTCCCCGAGGGTATCACCAGTCCAGTAGTCAGCACTTCTGTGCTGACATCAATTATCATTGATATGGTCATATTTATATATTAACTGTTTACAAAACTTTTGAATTGTTGACATACTAAGGCTTTTCTATCTCAAGAATAGCTTACCTTAGCTGTATTTGGCAAAACTTTTTCTGGAATTTTGGTCCTCAATGCTCTTCAACTTCGTACTTTATTTGGCTTTTTTTTTTAACTTTTTTGAATTCGAGCGTCACTGGTGAGTCTTTTGTAGACGAAACGCGCGTCTGGCGTAAATACAAAATTTAATCCTGGTATCTATGATGAGTTGATTTGCACAAAAGCAAATGAATGAATAGAAATTCAAATCAAATAACAAATTCAAGTTCTTTAACTTCAGTTATTCTGTGTCAGAAACCTATTATATGTCTATAATAAATATTTAATTACAATCCAAATTCAGACCTGTATCAACTTAATCAAGTGCGAATATTGTGTCTATTTTTTGTCCCAACTGTTCATGGTTGAACCTCTGCGGTCATATCCAGCTGCGCTCTGCGAAGTAATTTATTTAACATTAAAATAATATTAAAAAAAAAAATAATTGATACGGACTTCATTCCCTTTCATATTCATATTCAGTCCTTTGTTTAAAAATGAAAGTAAAAAATCATGCTTCAACAGTGCAGAAAATAAATAATCGATCCAAGATTCCTCCTCCTTGTGTGTGTAATGTACAGTACAAGTCCAAAAATATATCCAACTTTCAGAAAAATTGCATGTATACATCATACGAATTTAGCCAATACACATCCATACCCCTATAGACAAGTCAAAAGATTTTCCGAAAACTGTAAATACTACCTTTTTGCACCTGGCCTTATCACTCTTTCCATATCAAAATCAGTTAAAATAAAACATCCAAATATTTATTCCAGCTCTCTTCTTTCATTTCCACCCCATAAAAACTAAGAAAAATATATGAGAAAGGGAAAGAAAAAAAGTAAAGAAAAAATACACTTTAATTAAAGGGAACTATATGACAACGCAAAGCGGGATCATTAATTGTGGTCTGGGGTCATGTGCTAAATATAATGAACGTCCGTTGTACACCTATTAGGTTGTTTTCTTTTGGGTTTAAAAATTATTTTTACGCCAAATGATTCTATGAACATACAGACATCCAAAGTGATTTAAGTCTGTAAACCGGAAATGTAGGATTTTTTAGGATGTGTAAACTAAAGACCGAAAAAATCAAGGTAGCGTCATGTCTGACCTACAATCATACTCTAAACATGCTAAAGAAGATTTCGTACAAGGAAACCTTGAAATGTTTTATGAGCTCCTTTTATGACCGTTTGATTTCTAAGAAAGGGTAAGTGAAGAGAATCACAGACTTTGAACTTGTTTTATTTTATACTTAGACTTTTCATTCTTATAGAAATCTATCAGTATCGTGAGGGTAGGATATATAGTCCAAATATAAACGCCGAAAATTTCTATATTTATCAATATCTATCAATATATTTAAAAAAAAATTAAAATCACTTTACTTTCTGTATATTAAAATAAAAATGTCAATGCATATTTTTTTTAATATATTTGTTCTAATAATATTTTTTTTAAGTTTTCTTGTCGCTAAATAGTCTTCTTGTCGCTAAATTTATTCTTCTTGTCGCTTCTTGACGCTTCTTGACGTTTCTTGTCGCTTCTTGTCGCTTCTTGACGCTTCTTGTCGCTAATTAGTGAGACCCGTTCAAAATGTTGTTGTTCTGCTTGTAGATAAGATTTTTCATATTTTAGAAGTTGCTCTAACATGTTATTATGCCTTAGATTTTTGCATGTGTGCTATATTTTATTTGTGCTTAATTTTAGTTGTGCTTAAATTTTAGGTGTGCTTCAGCTTTGGCTTTAGATATGTATTTTAGCAGTGCTTTGCATGTATTTCAATATGCCTGTGCTGATATATATCCTGTCTGCATGTTGTGTGTTTTAATGTTGTGTTTGTGTTACTTTATATGCGGTAAAAAGAGCTTATGTTTGTATTGTTAAATGTGAACCGAATCAAAATAAAACTTTCGTATTCGTATTCGTATTAGCACAGGAATAGGAAATTCTATCAATAAAATTCTGTAAATAATAAAGTCGACTATCAACAAAGCTTCTCGTAGAGAAGCGGAAATTCTATCAATAAAATTCTGTAAATAATAAAGTCGACTATCAATAGAGCTTCTCGTAGAGAAGCGACTACGAGAAGCTTAATTGATAGTCGACTTTATTATTTACAGAATTTTATTGATAGAATTTCCGATTGCGACTACGAGAAGCTCTATTGATAGTCGACTTTATTATTTACAGAATTTTATTGATAGAATTTCAGATTCCTGTGCTAATAGATAACAGGAATCGGAAATTCCTGTGCTAATAGATAACAGGAATCAGAAATTCTATCAATAAAATTCTGTAAATAATAAAGTCGACTATCAATAGAGCTTCTCGTAGAGAAGCGACTACGAGAAGCTCTATTGATAGTCGACTTTATTATTTACAGAATTTTATTGATAGAATTTCCGATTCCTGTGGTATTAGTGAGGTCAGGGTGAAGATAAGGACCCAGCAGTTGCAATATTAAATGTATACGGGAGCGTCTTTTTACCACAGAATACCACAGAACTTCGAAATATAATTACTTCAGACATTATATTATTGTTACTGTTAATTCTTTTTATAATTTGACATTTATTATTCAAATAAACTAAATTTTTTGAGATGAAATAAAAGTCATTGGACAATATTTCAGATTTTTACTATTTATATTTTCAAACTGTACACAGCAAGGTATGTTACTAACAGATATCACAACACCTCATCTGTTAGTAGCATGCTTGAACATCTTGAATGGTCTACCCTACAAGAACGAAGGAAACATAGCCGCTTTATAATGATGTATATATATATAAGCTACAAAACAACTTTGTCAAAATCGATACATCCAGTAAGCTAATACTGAATGAACATCCTTCCAGACATAACAACGAAAAGGCACTTAGAATACCATCATGTAAAACAACTGTACGGAAGGAGTCGTTCTATCCTAGAACAATCAGAGAGTGGAACACCTTGCCCAACTCTACTGTCTCTCCGCCCTGAGTCCTGAATCCTTCAAGGCTCAGCTCCGTCATTAGAAGTAAATGCCATGTTTTTAATTGTAACCTGTATATATATTAAATTGCACCCATTCTCTTTTTGTTTATTAAATTTCAAAAATATTTCATGCGCTCACTCCAAAATGTGGCAGAATAGTCAACCAGTTGACGGTGGCCGCTTACCGGAAGAAGAAGAAGATGAAAACTCGTTAGGTTTTATAGATATTTACCTGAAGTTAATTAGCATTATGTTTTGACATTCTAATCTGATGATACCCTTGTTTATTCATCTATTCCTTATATTTCTACATGGATTTCTTAGAAAAGAGGGACAAAAAATACCAGAGAGACAGTCAAACTCACAGATCGAAAACAAACCGACAACGCCACAGCCAAAAAACAAAAAAGACAAACAGCCAAACAATAGCACACAAGACACAACACAGAAAACTAAAGACTAAGCAACATGAACCCCACCGAAAACTTGGGGTGATCTCAGGTGCTCAGGAAGGGTAAGCAGATCCTGCTCCACTTGTGGCACCCGTCGTGTTGCTCATGTTATTACAAATCTGGTAAATAGTCTAATTAGGTAGGTCACGACATAAGGAACATATCTGATATCATCTGTGAAACAGTTATTCCATTACGGTCAACCAACTCGTGATGCCGTCCGTAAAATTTAAGAAGGAATGATTTCAACTTCACCATTTGGAACTCTTGGTTTAATAGCTTCCTTGTGAGCAGTAACCCTCTATCAAGGAAATCATGATAGAAAATATAAGCCCGGGAATATCGTATTAATTGTGAGATATATACACTCTATGCAGGCGCTGCTGGAATGTTGCTACATAGAAATGGAAAGTTCACAATTGGGAAGCTGAAATCATCTCTTTTGTCGTAAAGTTTTGTTTTCAACCAACCCTCATTGTCAATTTCTAGATGAAAGTCAAGATATGAGGCAGACTTAACTGTATCTGTTGTATCCTTTATCTCTAGTTCGAAGGGATAAATGCGTTCAACATAGTCACCAAATTTTGAATTATTTAGTGAGAGAACATCATCTATATAGCGGAAAGTAAAGTTAAAGGATATTGCTAACTTCTTATCTTTCTTCCTAAGAAGTTTACAAATGACATACATTGTACAAGATTCAGATATACATTTATTATATGTCTCTGCAAGATTTTAGGAGGAATAAACCATTTATACCCTCCATAATCAGATGGCAATTAGAATTCAATCAATTGACAATTTTTTAAATAGTTGATTATTTTGAAATTTATTAACAGAATTGGGAGAACAAACTTAATCTTAGTAGTATAAATGGCGCCGGTAAAATTCATCATGTCAACTTTTCTCTTTATAGAAAAAGCATTTTTTTAATAGAAAAAGCATTTTATTAATAGATAAACATTTTTTAATAGAAAAAAAAATATTTATAAGAAAACATTTATTTATAGAAAATCATTTTTTTCTATAGAATAAATTGTTTTTAAAAGATTTTTATAAAATATAGTTTAGTATCTCAAAGGTCTCCAAATATAAAAAAAAATCTACCAAATAACAAGAAAAGTTATGATCATTAAAGTAATTTATATCTCATCCGGTCAATGGTCCTGTCATTAGTGTAGCCCGAATTATAAAAATAATATAATTCTGAATTATTAGTTTTGCATTTTGTAAATTAATTCAATGTTCTGTGGTATATTTAAGTAGTTTTATTGTTGAGCCTGCGACTTTTGTCGCAGAAAGCTCGACATAGGGATAGTGATCCGGGGGCGGCGGCGTTAGCTAACTTCTTAAAAGCTTTATATTTTAGAAGGTAAAAGATCTGGATGCTTCATACTTTGTATATGAATGCCTCATGTTACGAAGTTTCCATCAGTTACATGTCCAATGTCCTTGACCTCGTTTTCATGGTTCAGTGACTACTTGAAAAAAAAGTTAAGATTTTTTGTAATGTTAAATTCTCTCTTATTATAAGTAATAGGATAACTATATTTGGTATGTGCGTACCTTGCAAGGTCCTCATGCCCGTCAGACAGTTTTCACTTGACCTCGACCTCATTTCATGGATCAGTGAACAAGGTTAAGTTTTGGTGGTCAAGTCCATATCTCAGATACTATAAGCAATAGGTCTAGTATATTCGGTGTATGGAAGGACTAAGGTGTACATGTCCAACTGGCAGGTGTCATCTGACCTTGACCTCATTTTCATGGTTCAGTGGTTATAGTTAAGTTTTTGTGTTTTGGTCTGTTTTTCTTATACTGTATGCAATAGGTCTACTATATTTGGTGTATAGAATGATTGTAAGGTGTACATGTCTAGCTGGAAGGTGTCATCTGACCTTGACCTCATTTTCATGGTTCATTGGTCAAAGTTAAGTTTTTGAGTTTTGGTCTTTTTTTTCTAATACTATATATGCAATAGTTCAACTATATTTGGTGTATGGAAATATTTTATGATCTATATGTCAGTCACGCAGGTTTTATTTGACCTTGACCTCATTTTCAAGGTTCATTGCTCAATTTTGAGTTTTTGTGTTTTGGTCTGTTTTTCTATAACTATAAGCAATAGGTCAACTATATTTGTTGTATGGAAGAATTGTTAGCTGTACATGCCTGCCTAGCATGGTTCATCTGACCTTGACCTCATTTTCATGGTTCATTGGTCAATGTTTAGTTTACTTGGTTAATGTTAAGTTTATGTGACAGTTGTAATAAAGCTTTATATTTAGGACTATCAACATAATATCAATGATTAGTAAAGAAGGCGAGACATTTCAGTGTGTGCACTCTTGTTGTATTTTGTGTAGTTCTGTGTTATATTTTGGGTGTTCTGTGGTATTCTGTGGTGTTCTGTGGGTTTCTGTGGTAAAAAGACGCTCCAATACTCCAAGGCACGGAGGCAAATATCCCACATAAGAAGAAGGCACTGGCTACGGTTACATGGAGATGTAGCAAAAATAAAATAATTATTGTTACATTGGAGACTAAATGCTGGAATGCAGGGTTGGGTAAGGAACCGATTAATTACGAATGTAACAATAATTGGTTACATTGTGTTATTGTTACATCGTCATCAATGCACTGCAGTGTACGATGGGACTAGAAATATGTATCAAAATAAAATTTGAAGACTTTTATTTGATATTTACAATATTGCAGACAATTTTTTTTTAAATTTTATTTACAATGACAGTTTCTACAAATCCAGTGGTAGGTCAATGATATTTGGTATGCAGTTGTATTAGCATTGGCACATCTCATTACCATGGAGATTATTTGGCCCCGCCCCCTCAGTCAAGGTCTATTGACTTTGAAACTTTTCATAGTTTACATGTATTAGTTTGTGATTAGGTCAATTTATGGGGAATCACTAGTGGTAGGACAATGATATTTGGTATGCAGTTGTATAAGCATTGGCATATCTCATTTCCATGGAGATTATTTGGCTCCTCCCCCTTAGTCATGGTCTATAGGCTTTAAAAATTTTGCTAAGCTAACATGTATTAGTTTGTGATTAGGTCAGTTCAAGGGGAACCATTAGTGGTAGGCCAATGTTAATTGGTGTTCAGTTGTATAAGCATTAGCACATCTCATCTCCACGGAGAATATTTGGCCCCGCCCCCTCAGTCATGGTCTATTGACTTTGAAACTTTTGCTTAGTTTGCATGTATTAGTTTGTGATTAGATCAGTTTAAGATGAACTACCAATGTTATGTCAATGAAATTTGGTATGCAAATGTATTGGCATTCGCAAGTATCGTTTCCATGGAGATTATATAGCCCCCACCCTAATCATGGTTCATTGACTTTGAAACTTTTACATAGTTTACAAGTTATTAATGTTTGTGTTTAGGTTTGTTTAAAGGGAACGACTTATACTAAGTCAATGGTATTTGGTATGCAGTTGTATTAGCATTGGCACATCTCATTCCATGGAGATTGTTTAATAGCCATGTACCTTCAGTCATGGTTCATCGACTTTGAATACTTGCATAACTTACCTGTTAAAGTATTGCTATTTTAATTTCAACATTTGCTTGCATTATCAAAATTACAAAAAGGCTAGACATATCTCTGTGATAACAGTTTATTCTTCGTTCTTGAAGATATTGATTTGATATTTGGTATAAGTTTTATCATGACAAGTTATAGGTCAACTTCGAATTTTGTTCAAGTCTGATGATTTAGTCCAGAGTTATCATGGTCCATATATAATGTTAGAGTACTACATTTTGTATGTTAAACCATATTTCTGTATAAAGGGAGATAACTCATTTTTAGTTCCCTACTGACGAAGTCGAAGGGGAATTTAGGTTTGCACTCCCTCCGCCTGTCCGTCTGTAAGTCTGTCCATCTGTCCGTCTGTCCATCCGTCAGTCCTGCAAATCAGCTTTCCACACTTTTTTCTTTGTTCTTGAAGATATTGATTTGATATTTGGTATATAGTTTTATCATGACAAGTTATAGATCAAGTTCGAATTTTGTTCTGGTCTGATGATTTAGTCCAGAGTTATGGACCATAACTCTGGACCATATCTAATGTTTAAGGAATTTGTTAAACCATATTTCTGTACAAAGGGAGATAACTCATTTTTTAAAAGACATTCTTTGTTAAATTATTTGAAGAATTTTTTGACAGGTTTGTTTGTTATTTAGTATAAACTAATTTTCTGAATGCTATATATATAAAAAAAAATTATGAAGAGAAATCTTATAATTAGATAATAATCTATTTTTATTAATGTATATATTTCAATACATTACATTGTGTAGATAAAAGTTGTTGACATTTTATTGACAAGTTACAAATCTATATTTGTGACAAATGAAAGAAAAAATATTTGGAACTATTAATTATATTTGATTATAATTTGAAAATAGATACAGTATACACTGTATTACATCATATCTAATTTTAGAGAACTATTAATCATATCTAATGTTTTTTTCATCATGCTTATTAGACATTGTTAGATATTGATTGATAATTGGTATATAGTTTTATCATTACAAGTTACAGATCAAGTTCAAATTTTTGTTTCAGTCTAATAATTTTGTGCAGGTTTATGGTCCTTAGACTTGAAAAATTCACTCATATAATCAGTTTTCCACACTGTTTTTAGTCATGCTTGAAGATATTGACATGATATTTACTTTTTGTTTACACCATGACAAGTTATAGAACAAGTTAGCATTTTGTTCCAGTATAATGAATTTTTACCCAGTAGGGGACTATGTAGTGCCATGCAATACTCTCAGAATGCTTGTTTAAAATACATTCTTTGGTAAATTGTTTGAGTTTTGTGTGATTTTGTATAAACTAATTTTCTGAATGCTATATTTATATATATTTTTTTTTATGAAGTGAAATCCTTTAATCAGATAATAATCTATTTTTATTCAGGTATATATTTCATTACATTACATTGTGTATAGATAAAAGTTGTTGACATTAGGACATTGCATCTGTCATCTATGTATTAGTTATTTTCTCCAAAAAGACCAACTAAGTTCTGGATAATATTGATATTTGTGGTGTTGTCCGTTCAGATTCAGATTTTTCTTCTTATGCTGGATATTTGCCTCCGTGCTTTGGAGCTGATATATATATGCATAAAATATTGCAACTGCTGGGTCCTTATATTAGTTTGTGACAAATGAAAGAAAAAATATTTGGAACTATTAAATATATTTGTTTATAATTTGAAAATAGATATACATTGTATTACATCATGTCTAATTTAAGAGAACTATTAATCATATCTAACAGTCAGGGGACTTGCTTAAATGAGTGATTTTCTACATGAATTAATTCAAGCTAATAAAAGAATGTTTGTTCTGGTTGCATGTGGCATTGTTCATAAAAAATAGGGTTAGTCGGTGGTACTTTTTTCGACGCTTTTACAGTTAGTGCTTGTTAAACCAGATGATTTTAGGATACCTAATTATATGCTTAACTAAAGAAGAGCTTTTTTTAAAGTCGTTACTCGTTACTTGGGATATATATACATGATGTATTGGCAGAAGAATAGCTTTTTTACCCTTCACACAAAAACTAATAAATTTCACAAGAGACCAAGTGACACAGAAAGAAACAGCTATAGGTCACTGTACAGCCTTCAACAATCAGCAAAGCCCATAGCTGTAAATTCAGAAATTATTGCATGCATTTATTTTTACGATTTTGTCATTTAAAACAAAAATGCGATTTAAATTTTTTGCGAAATTGAGAAAAGTCCTGTTTTATTCATATAAACACTTTCAAAATGCTAGTTTAAATTATTTCAATTTTAACCCTATGGCACTTTCACAAAAATAAAAACATCACAATAATATCTGAATTTACATACTAATAGATTAAAGATAATGTTTGTGTCACTGTACAAATGATAAAAGTAACATACACATGATACAGTTACATATGATACTCCTTTTTTTATAGGAATTAACTGAGATGTACAGTGTGTGAAAACTTTTTTCTTGGAACTAGCCACATTGGTGAGCAGTTTTTCATTTCAACTCACCAAATTAAAATCCCACTTGCCAGCTTGGTGAGTTTTTAAAATTTTGAACTCACCATCTTATTCATACCTTAATGCAATGTTATAAACATTTTTAGAAATAGCTTTATTCTTGTTTTCGTAAAATTATATCAAATGTCAGCTTGTCTGGCAAAAATTAGAAAGCAGTCAAGCATTTTTACCAAATAAATGAAAAAAATACACTTTTTTTTGTTTCAACCTGTCCAATATTCATGATGTTATTTAATACACTTTGAATTCTTGCATTTGTCCATTCATGCCATATTTTTGATATGATACACATAGAGTTCTTGAAATCTTTTTTCTCTGGTGGTCCTTGTGGAAAATAAATTATTTCTACTACAAAATACTAAAATTGTCCCAGACCATTACAAATTTTGTTGGTCAAATGAAAATAACTTAAATCCCTAGGATTTATCACCTTTTGAGAACTCTGTACACATGATACATATACATGTAAAAATTATCATTGATTATCAAAATGATACAGAAATAAAGCCAAAATTAAATATCTATTTGATCAAATTGTTAATTAACTAGAACATGATCATAATCTGAATGATATTTTGTGTTCTTCTTGTATTTCATGTAACATGCTATAGACTAACATGATAAATAATGATTTATCACAATTTAATTTTGAATAGGTGCTGAAACATGGAAGACAGCTTTACCATTCCTAGTCACGTAGATGACCTGACAAAATGTATGTATGAACTACAGCAGGAAGGGACATTCTGTGATGCAGGCCTCGAGTGCAAAGATGGGGTCATATTTGTTCATAAACTTGTTCTAATGGCATGTAAAAGTCCATATTTAAGGAATCAATTGGCGTCTGAAAATCAAGGTACAAGAGTTTATGTCAGTCTTAAGAATTATTCATTAAAAACAGTATGCTGTTTGGTGCAGACCCTTTATACAGGACAGTTAAATATTTCCCAGGAGAATAAAGTAAATTTTAGACTTTTGTGTCAGACAATAGGGCTTAACAAAATAAAATCTGCTGCTGAAAATTTTATTCAGCAAGATCAAAATATTTATGAGGTCCAAAACATAAACCCATTTTGTGCTGTTCAAGTTGCAGAGGAAATAATAGAATCACCGGATAAGATTACAGCACTGGTGGCATCTGTCAATCATGGACCAGATGACAACTTTGTTGACAGTACAAACACTGTTGATAATGTAGAGGATCTCAACTATGACAACAGTGATGTAAAAGTTGGTGGTGATATGGTTAAAAGGAGTCAAGATTTGGAAGGAGAAAGGGATGCCGACAAATCTTTGGATCTGCCCAAAGTAAGAAAAACCAGAAGCAACAAGAGAAGAAAAATGTTCCACAATGAAATCACACAAGCAAAAGACAATGCCACCTCATCTAATGTCTCTGAAATATTGGCCATTGCAAAACAATTATCTGAAATAGATAAAGCCCAGCCATCTAAACCTGCTTCTTCTTGTCTAGATCAAACTAAATCCAGTTTATGTTCTCTATGTACAAAAAAAATTGTCAGTGAAGAGGAAAATGTTACAGATCCAAGCAAGACAGTTTGTACAGAATGTATGGTTTTATTTAGTGGAGAAACCAATGATGACCAAGAGGTGGGAACTGAACCAGACCAAACACAAAGTTACAACAGTGAAGATTGTGGAGAAGACGGCAAAAAGGTATTAGTAATGATAATTTAAACTTATTCTTATACAATTTTTATATGACCGAAAAAATTTGCGTTTTTGTAATGCTGTCATGTTGTCATGGGTGTCGTCGTCCGAAGACTCATTTGGTTTCCGTACAATAACTTAAGTTTAACATGTTTAAGTGAATGGATCTCTATGAAATTTTACCATAATTTTCCATATGGAAACAGGAAGGTTGGGATTGATTAGGGGGTTATGGCACCAACAGTTTAGGAATGAGGGGCCAAAAACAAGCATTTTTGTAGTTTCTGGACAATAACTTGTGTGTTATAAGTGTATGGATCTTTCTGAAATTGATTTATACAAGGTTCCATATCACAAAGGGAAGGCTAGGATTGACTTTGGGGGTAATTGCACCAAATAATCAGGAATTAGGGCAAAAACATGCCACATTTTGCCATAAAAGGAGCACTATGGACCCAGTCCTCAAACTGTAACAGGCATCAAAATAGTGCTACATGTGTATAATATGTATAATCATGATGATAATTTATAGCAATATGTGCAAGACCAACTTATCAGTCATTTTTATTTTCACCAAACATCTCTCAGATTGTTTAGAAGCATTATAGCTATAGAGGAAGTATTGACTGCTTACAGAATATGGTTATCTTGTTATCCGTTTATCAGATGCATCAGGAATTGTCATACAAAACTGGTTGTAACGTGGTCACATCTTTTTGGCAGTACAGTACTTGCAAACCTTAGGCGTTACTGTTTGACGTGAATGATCGGTGACAGATGTTTGACTGGTCAATGACTGATCGGTGATCGATGACCCATAGATTCCGTCAGATACGTCAAATTAGCTATGTGAGAGTTACCGTGACAACGGTCAGCAATCGATCAGTAAAGTAGTTATATGCACGGATTGGACAGATACGTATATAATTAAAATTCTTATGTAAAACGAACTCCACAGTAATTACATTCGATAAACACGGACCTCTACAAAGACACCTTTACTCCTTAATTTGTAATCAACTTGGTCGCAATAACACATAAAAAAGATATATAAATTACTGTTCACGCATTAACCAATGTATGTATTACTTCATATTCTCTTATTTTGATAGAGAATGCAATCATTTCTTTATTGTTAGGACTGCCATTGGATTCTTGTACTTTTTGTAGTTCAGGATTAATTGTTTTTCATAAAATTAAAAAAATATCAGAGAAAATATACTAAAATGTTGTTTGCAATGTATAAAATTACTAATTTTTCTTCTTTTGATAAAAAATATTGCAATGTTATTTGTAACTAGTTATTTCTTAGGCCTCAAGATAAGTTTGTTATAAGAATTTTAATAATGTAAGTAGAAAAATACTTTTGTTTGTGTTGAATACATATACAATAATTTCTTTGATTTGATAGAGATTATGAACCACCATTTGATTTCAGTACTTTTTGTACATCAGGATTGGTTGTTTTTCAAAAATTATGTTGAATTTCAGGGAAAAGATACTAAATTTTTGTTCGTGTTGCTTAAAAATGAAAATATTTCTTCTTTTTTATCAGAAATAATGGAAGGTCAATTGCAATCAGTCATTATAAATGCCTTTAGATATGTAATTTTGTATAAAATGTGAATGGTTCAAGGATAAATATGCATTAACTTTTGTTTTTGTTGAATAAGAATGCAATCATTTCTTTATTTTAATGGAAATTATTGACTGCAATTGGATTTTGTACCTTTTTGTAGTTCAAGATTGGTTGCTTTTCATAAAATTAAAAGAATATCAGAGAAAATATACTAAAATGTTGTTCGCATTGTTTAAAATTACCAATTTTTCTTTTTATGATAAAAAAAATGCAATGTTATTTGTAACTATTTATTTCAAAGGCCTCGAGATAATTTTTTTATAAGAATTTTAATAATATAAGAAGAATAATACTTAAACTTTTGTTTGTGTTGAATACATATACAATAAATACTTTATTTTGATAGAAATTATGAACCGCCATTTGATTTCAGTACTTTTTGTACATTAGGATTGGTTGTTTTTCATAAAATATGCTGAATTTCAGGGAAAAGATACTAAATTTCTGTTGGCATTGCTTTAAAATGCAAATATTACTTCTTTTATATCAGACATTATGCAACGTCAATTGCAATCAGTCATTATAAATGCCTTTAGATAAGTAATTTTGTATAAATTTTGAATAATTGAAGGATAAATATGCATTAACTTTTGTTTTTGTTGAAAAAAAATGCTATCATTTCTTTATTTTAATGGAAATTATTGACTGCCATTGGATTTTTGTACTTTTTGTAGTTCAGAATTGATTGTTTTTCATAAAATTGAAAGAATATCAGAGAAAATATACTAAAATATTGTTCGCATTGTTTAAAATTACCAATTTTTCTTTTTATGATAAAAAAAAATGCAATGTTTTTGAAACTAGTTACTTAAAAGGCATCAAGATAATTTTTTTTTATGAGAATTTTAAATAAATAAGGCTTAAACATTTGCTTGTGTTGAATATGAATGCAATAATTTCTTTATTTTGATAGAAATTATGAACCGCCATTTGATTTCAGTACTTTTTATACATAAGGATTGGTTGTTTGTCATAAAATATGCTGAATTTCAGGGAAAAGAAACTAAATTTTTGTTGTTTTGCATAAAAATACAAATATTTCTTCTTTTTTATCAAAAATAATGGAATGTCAATTGCAATCAGTCATTATATTTGCCTTTAGATAAGTAATTTTGTATAAAATGTGAATAATTGAAGGATAAATATGCATAAACTTTTGTTTTTGTTGAATAAGAATGCAATCATTTCTTTATTTTTATGGAAATTATTGACCGCCATTGGAATTTGTACTTTTTGAAGTTCAGGATTGGTTGTTTTTCATAAAATTGAAAGAATATCAGAGAAAATATACTAAAATGTTGTTAGCATTGTTTAAAATTACCTATTTTCTTTTTATGATAAAAAAAATGCAATGTTATTTGTAACTAGTTATTTCAAAGGCCTCAAGATACATGTAAGTTTTTATAAGAATTTTAATAATGTAAGGAGAATAATACTTAAAATTTGTTTGTGTTGAATACATATACAATAATTTCTTTATTATGATAGAAATCATGAACCACTATTTGATTTCTGTACTTTTTGTACATCAGGATTGGTTGTTTTTCATAAATTATGCTGAATTTCAGGAAAAGATCCTAATTTTTTGTTCGTGTTGCTTAAAAATGCAATTATTTCTTCTTTTATATCAGAAATAATGCAATGTCAATTGCAATCAGTTATTATAAATGCCTTTAGCATGTTTAGATAAGTAATTTTGTATAAAATGCGAATAATGTAGGGAAAAAATACTTACTTTTGTTTGTGTTAAATATGAATGCAATAATTTCTTTATTTTGATGAAAATTATGAATCTCCATTTGATTCCAGTACTTTTTGTACATCAGGATTGGTTGTTTTTCAAAAATTATGATGAATTTCAGGGAAAAGATACTGAATTTTTTGTTTGTCTTGCTAAAAATGCAAATAGTTCTTCTTTTTTATCAGAAATAATGGAACGTCAATTGCAATCAGTCATTGTAAATGCCTTTAGATAAGTAATTTTGTATAAAATGTGAATAATTGAAGGATAAATATGCATAAACTTTTGTTTTTTGTGATAAGGAATGCAATCATTTCTTTATTTTAATGGAAATTATTGACTGCCATTGGATTTTGTACTTTTTGTAGTTCAGGATTGGTTGTTTTTCATAAGATTTAAAGAATATCAGAGAAAATATACTAAAATGTTGTTAGCATTGTTTAAAATTACCAATTTTTCTTTTTTTGATAAAAAAAAATGCAATGTTATTGTAACTAGTTATTTCAAAGGCCTCAAGATAATTTATTTTTTTAAGAATTTTAAAAATGTAAGGATAATACTTAAACTTGAATACACATACAATAATTTCCTTATTATGATAGAAATCACGAACCGCCATTTGATTTCAGTACTTTTTGTACATTGGTTGGTTGGATTGGTTGTTTTTCATAAATAATGCTGAATTTCTGGGAAAAAATACTAAATTATTGTTCACATTGCTAAAAAATGCAAATATTTCTTCTTTTATATCAGAAATAATGCAATGTCAATTGCAATAATGGGTTGTTTTTCATAAAATTAAATAAATATCAGAGAGAAGATATTAAAAGTCTTTTGCAGTTTTTAAACTCTAACAAGTTACCAATATTTCTTTTTTTTATAAAAAATTCAGCAAATTTTATTTGTAACTAGTTATTTTAAAGGCCTCCAGATAAGTTTTTTATAAGAATTATAAGGATTTAAATACTTAAAAATATTGAAAATAATACACAGAAATTGGCAATAAATGATCTTGTCATTTCATTTTCCAGAGCATTTTCGGAACAAAATCCTAATAGCAATAACAATCGTTTTAGCACTCTTCGTGTATGAAAATATATATAACCCAAATAAAAAACGAAAATCAGCATTCTTTTATAATAATATTTGAAATCAGTTTTATTTGTATATTTCTTTTCTTTTTAAATTCATAAAACTTTGCTGAATAATTACTAAAAAAATGTTGATCTTTTGTACTTGAACGTTTCGTTTTTTCCGTGGCGCCATTTTAATTAAATGAAACGAATCTAAGATTCTGTAATTTGTATTAGTTCATCATGTGACGTAGTAGAGTTCAATCCATCAGAAAGGTCTATCGTTCCGATCCGTCAGATCCTTCCGATCAGTCAAATATTTTTACTATAAGTCTGACGGATTGGTCACGTGAGTTTGATGCGAACTTGACTGATCGGTGACTGATCAATGACTGCTGACTGATCGCTAAAATAGTAACGCCTAAGGTTGCAAGTACTGTAGTTGAAATTGAATTATTTTTTATTACTGCCATAATCATGATGTGAATTTTTGAAATATTTTCATAATTTTGAATTTAACACTAAACATTTTTGCTAAACATGCTAAATGAAA